ATTTTCTCTCTTTTTTCTCTCACCATCATAATATCGTCATCTCATCACCAGAACAGCGTTAAACACAGCGAACCTATTTACCCTTTGCTTGTACTATGTACGAATCATCTGTTTAAATGATGAACCACCTACTTGAACGGCTCAAAATTACCAGTAAATACTGTGAGGACTCATTACCATCATCTTGAAATCATCATTATCTTCTTCTTCATGGATTTTATACATTAACATACATTCAATTCTTGAACCTTTCCCAAATTTTTTATAATCAATTTCCAATTTTTCATTTTATCCATTGTTTTGTTTTATTACATTTTAATATTTCTGTCAATCTTTAATTCTTACTGTTTACACCTTTGTTTTCCTTGTTTATTCCATATATGAAATTACAAACCTTTATTTTGTTATTAATACCATCAACAGTATACGCTTTTGGTTGTAACAATCAACTACATAAAAAATACTAACCAACTGTTTAAATTATAATGGTGTTACTTGAATAAACAAAAGTGAAATCATCATCACTATTAGTTCAACATCATGACAAAAGTCAGTATTGAATGTCTATCAAACTTGGTGCCTCTTTGAGTCTGGATTATTGCTTAACACACAACCATTAGTTAATTAGCTGCTATTAATTAGTAAACAAATTGATGATAATCCTACAAATGTTGCTATTTATTTATCACTTCTTTTATATCAATAGCAAACAGATCAAGACAGACAAGTCTTGTAAGTCGCTACAATATTGTAAGGTTGCTTTTAGTAAAGCTTTTTGCTTACCTCATAGATCTTTTGGATTAAAACGTTTATATTCTGAGGTAAACCCAATTTAACATTGATTTACAGCTGAAATTTATACAAAAAGTGCTATTGAAAGGAAAATGCATTTCCTGTAAATCAAATGTCAGACGCTTTTGATTGATACCTTCAATGTTAAGGGTATGACGCCAATCAAATGTATTTTTTGTATTACCTAAATTTGAAACATTTGAACCTAGCAAACAAATTTTCAATAGCTCGAACTCACAAAGATCGTTTGAAATGTAGTAATCATTGAACTAATTTTGGTCATTATTGTAAACTCGTCATATTTTAATCAAGAGGCCATAAGTCTAAAGCTTTACTTACTCAATCAACAATAAACAAAGTATCTCTCTAGAAAGCTTAAGATCCAATGTATTCCAATTTGACAACAGCTACAGATTCAAATTTCAATTCTGATAAAATGAGCAAACACTCTATAAAGTCATTCTTATTTCATCGTTTTTTGGTCAACATCTGTAAATTCATGTCCATCTAGCTCTACGGAAGTTTCAGTTGGTTTCAATTGCTTGAAAGTCATCACCTGGACTTGTTGAACCATTGATAATCGTCCGCAGAGGATTTTCAAGTTTCGAGGTTTTGAGTTGGAAAAAATCTCGAGAATCAAATTTTGTTAACTAAATCATGTTAATTTGAAGTTTATCTTAAGTAACCTTCAACATTGATCCAAATTAGTTAATTTCTTGTATCTTAATCCAGAATGATTGCAAAGATTTCGTTTTTTAATAAAGAAATTGCGTTTTAATTTGATCTTTCTTTCATTTAATCTGATTATTATAATTGACAACTTTAGATGGGGATTTATCCGCTCGTGTGTTATCAAATGAACGTCAATTGTATGGGAAAATATTTCATTTAAGTTATGTTGCTCAGTTTGTTGATCGTTCACGATTTAACTGAAATACACCTTTGAATAATACAATTGGGAGATATAATTATCATTACCAGAATTGATGTGGAAAGCCATTTTAGTTGTCATTAAGGTAAACTTGGTTATCACATGGCTATCAAGCAACAATGACCTGTCACTATTATAATACATAGATTTTCAATCTTTTCAAATTCATCAGTTTTCACTTGTCTCAATTTATTATTGTATTGTTTTTACCATGTAATAAAAATCTGGACGAGTCATGAAATGAAAGGGATTTCACTAAGCCACAGATTTGCTATAAAAGTATTAGACACTATCAGTATTTCAGTAAATCTGATTTATCAAATGATCAGTTTAAATCAGCAAAATGGTACTGAAAT